CAACAGAGGTGCCTGCTTGCTTTAGCTGGGCAGCTGGGATGACCTTCACACCTTGAGTGACCCTGCTGGGAGTAGATACTCTGGGCATACACTCCCAACATTCTATGCTTATCCTTCCCAGGAACTCCCCCCTGCCATGATGAGATCCTGCTAGATCTGATGGAAGTAAAATCAAACAACAAGCTTTGGACATGTTCCTTGGGAATTCTGGCAGCTTAGTGGAGCATCTAGCTGACTTTGGCTGAGCTTAAAAATGCTAAACAGGGCCAGACCTAGATAATGCTGGGAAGGAAGTCTGCCAGGAAGTCCAAGGGCTATTCAAGTTAGATTGATTGATTATGTGCCATCAAGTTGCTGTTGACTACCACATAGATGGATTTTCTCCATGACGATCTGGCCCTAACCTGGTATTTCAGGTCTTCCAATGGTACACTCATAGCCACTGCAACTGAGTCCATTCACCTTGCTGCTGGTCATCCTCTTCTTCTCTTTCCTTCCACCTTTCCCAGCATTAGAGCCTTCTCTTGAGAGTTAGGTCTTTGTATAATGTGTCTGAAGTAGGATAATTTGAGCCTGGTCATTTGTGGCTTGAGTGAAAACTCTGGGTTGATTTGTTCAATGATCCATTTATTTGTTTCTTGGCTGTCCATGGTATTGTCAGGAGTCTTCTCCAACACCAGAGTTCAAAAGCATCAATACCCTTCCTATGCTGCTTCATCAAAGTCTAACTTTCACTTCCATAGAGTGTCACAGGGAATGCCATGGCTTGTGAGATTCTGATCTCATGACATTTGAACATCTTTTCCAAGGCCTTCATGGCTACTCTACCAAGTGCTAGTCTGCGATGCATTTCTTGACTGTTTGTTCCTTTACTGTTGATGCTTGGTCCTAAAAGGCAGAAGCTGTCCACTACTTTGATATCTGTTATTGATGTGGAAATTAAGATAACTTCTCAGCCGGGTTTCCCTCAAAGCCAAATGCAGAGAACTGTTTTCAAGAATGATGATCTGTGTCTAACTGTCACAGGCCAAAAGCCCAAGTCACTTATTTCTTAGGATCAAAACTGAGGATGAATTTACAGAATTCCATACATAAGCTAAAGAATTCCATTACAGTTCCATACATAAGCTAAAAAAAACCCTGCTTGTCCAAAGATTGGATAAAAGCACCTCCTTGTGGTGGAATGATAAACCTGAGGCTGTGATCCTGACTGACTATAGAATTATTTACTTGTATAAGTCCAGTACCATCATTTGACTTGTCTTTTTACAGTGCAAAAGTAGATAGGTCTCAGCTCTGGGTGCTCACAATTAAAAGTGCAGCATTGGGGAAACAACAGACAAAGGAAAGTGAAGCGGGGTCAATAGGAGAATGCATGAATGTCTGTGACATTTCCTACTGTCTCTGGATCTATCGGGAATCCAGTGAGAAGGAGGGCACTGATAAAAAGGAATGAAGGACTTTTCACGTCCTCTGATTACTTTGTGACCTTTTGAGCACAGACAGTCCAATAAAAGCTGTAGGTGTTAAAAGAAAAACTAACAGGGTGCATTAATGAAATGTACTCCAAAAGCAAAGTAGCTACACATTCAGGATGCTGTAGTGTGTTGCAACTCTGCATGATGGAAGCCTAGACGGAAAAACTTACACAAAGTTAGAGGCATTGGAGATGCCTAGAGAAGTCTGCAGAAAGGCACAATAGTCTTCTTCAAGTAGCTGAATGACTGTCATGTTGAAGATAGGGCAGAATTTTCAGATGTGTTCCAGAAGACACAAAATAATGGGTTTAAGTTAGAGGGAAGTTGATTTCAGTTGGAGATCAGGAAAAATGTTGCAATGATAAGAGCTCTGCCACTATGGAACATAATTAACAGGTTTCCATCTGTGAAATGCTGGAGGTAGTGATTCTTCTTCTTGCAGGTGAAAAAAGCAAAACTGTCAGAGACGTAGACTTCACTATGGACAAATGAATAAGAAATCCACAGCAGTTTTCCCCAAAACCGATGAGTTTGATTCATAATTATTGTTAGTGAGATATAAAAAATTGAATCAAGGAAGCGAAAACATAAAAACAACATAAACGCCCTATAAGGAAGCCAGCAATAGGTTGGAATGCTTACTTCAACAGCTATATTAGGTAAAAGGATAGCCTTGTACAGCACATGGGCTCTAGCATTTGAGGGTGTGTAGTTACTAACTCTTGCACTGCATAGAAGGCATCCATTCTCTATTTAACCACTTAGAAACACTGGATGCCATGTCAGACTATGGCCTGGTTCAGATAACACTTTATGCCATGGTTTACTTTGATTGTGGTATATGGCCTAAGCCTCAATGGCTGGGCCTATATAAAACCACCATGGGATGAGGTATCATCAATATGCAGGTGTTACCCAGCTATACATCTCCATCCCAGGTGATTTGAGTGATGCTGCGGCTACCCTTTCGCAGTGCCTGGAGGGTGTGGGGGTCTGGATGGGGAACAACAGGCTTCAGCTGAACCCTGGTAAGACAGAATGGCTATGGGTTGGGGGCTCCTCTGTATCCAGAGGTTTACCATCTTTGGTTCTGGATGGAGTCGCACTACCCCAGACAGACCTGGTGCGTAACCTGGGGGCCCTCCTGGACTCACAACTTCTGCCCGAAGAGCAAGCGGCAATCGTAGCCAGGAGAGCCTTTGCTCAACTACATGTTGTACACCAGTTACACCCTTTCTGGATCAGGAGATCCTCCAGCCAGTCACTCAGGCCCTAGCCATCTCCCGTATAGACTGTTGCAATGCACTCTACATGGGGCTACCCTTGAAAAGTATCTGGAAGCTCCAGCTGGTTCAAAACGCAGCTGTGCAGGCAATTTTAGGTGCCCCAAAGATGGCACATGTTACACCTTTGCTGCGTGAGTTGCATTGGGTCCCAGTTTGCTTCTGGGTCCAATTCAAGGTGTTGGTTATTACCTCTAAAGCCCTACATGGCATGGGACTGGGTTACCTGAGAGACTGTCTCTCCCCTATTATACCCACCCGTCCCACCCAGTCAGGCAGGGAGGGTATGCTGCAGACTCCATCGA